GCTGCGGATCTGCCCAACCATCCCCCCGGGGCGCACTCCTTCCTCGGTGTGACTATGATGTTTAGAGACCCCAATGTGGTCACCAGGGGTGGTGCTTGCTCCTGGGATTTCTTTAGTCCTAGGACTTTGGAAGAGAGAGCCAGGAAATAAGTTTTGTTTTGTTTTGTATTTTGCCAATTTAAAAAATAATAAAGTATGAGACTAGGCATGGTGGCTCATGACTGTAATCCCAGCACTTCGGGAGGCTGAGGCAGGCAGATCACTTGAGCTCGGGAGTTCAAGACCAGCCTGGACAACATGGCGAAACCCTGTCTCTACTAAAAATACAAAAATTGGCCAGGTGTGATGGCACGCGCCTGTAATCCCAGCTACTTGACAGTCTAAAGCAGGAGGATCCCTTGAGCCCAGGAGTTCAAGAATGCAGTGAGCTGTGATTGTGCCACTGCACTGCCTGGTGACAGAGTGAGGCCCTGTCTCAAAAAGAAAAAAAAAAAACCCAAAATCTGTGGACTCGGGTGATAATGACATGTCAGTGTGGGTTCATCAAGCGAAACAGCTGTACCCTCTTATGGGGGATGTTGATAATGGGGGAGACTGGGGTGGGGCGAGGATATATGTGAAGTTTCTGTAACCTTCCTCTAATTTTGCTGTGAACCTAAAGCCGCTCTAAAAATGTATGTATATAAAAAGTGGGGCCTTCCTTTCCCTCTCCCCTGCCCCTGCCGTCTCCCCCACCTCCTTCCTCTCCCTGCTGCCCTCCCCTTTCCTCCTTAGCCTCTGTAAGTAACACTGCAGTGAATATCCTGGAGCACAAAGGGCCTGTCTCCCAGTTCAGAATTACCTCCTTTATTTAGAGCAGGTTCTCAGAACTAGAGTAATGGGGCAAAGGCCTGAGGCAAATGCATTTGTTCTGGGGTGCCCCAGCCGCCTGCAGGCCCCTTATTCTCTGTGGCCTGCATTTGTTCTGGGGCACCCCAGCTGCCTGCAGGCCCCTTATTCTCTGTGGCCTGCATTTGTTCTGGGGTGCCCCAGCCGCCTGCAGGCCCCTTATTCTCTGTGGCCTGCATTTGTTCTGGGGTGCCCCAGCTGCCTGCAGGCCCCTTATTCTCTGTGGCCGACTCCTCCTCCCACCCTCCTGGCCTTTCCCCAGCCTCCCTCGCCCACTAGGCCTCCTGAATTGCTGGGTACCGGCTGTGGTTGACAGACAGAGGGACAGACGTGGCTCTGCAGGTCCACTCGGTCCCTGACACCAGCCACAGGGATGGCAGAGCAGGGGTGTGGTTGGTGTGGGAAGCACAGGCTCCAAGTCTCCTGGGGGGCTGTTGGCTGGGCAGGCTCTGGCTGCCCCCACCCTGTCCCCATCACCGCAGAGTGCCGTGCAGGGACTGGAGCTGCCACTGAGTGTCTCGGTGAGGGTGACCTCACACTGGCTGAGCTTAAAGGCCCCAGCAGAAGACTTTGTTCATGGTGTTCTTTCACTTCTCATAGCCTTTCCTGGCACTGGGAGTAACAGGTGTTCACAGAAAATGCGAATGGCCTCCTCCTCCACGACCTCACACGACCTTATCCCTTCCCTCCTGCTGGCCTCTTTCCCTCCCCTTCTGTCACTCTGCCTGGGTGTGCCCGGGGGCCTTGACTGGGCCCTTTCTTTCCTCAGGGAAGCCCTCAAGGTTGGGCTAGATGCCCCCCTAACCCTCCCACCCACACCATGTTCCCCTGAGCCTCTAGTCCTCCCTCCCAGGACACATCAGGCTGGATGGTAACATCTCCCCACCCTTGAGTGGGACTGCCTTGTGCTGCTCTGCGACCCACACCCAGCTTGGACTGCCCGCTCCACAGACCCCAGGAAAAGCTGGTACAGATAAGGTCAGTCCCATGAGTTGGGGGCCCACAGTATGCCGCCCTCTCTGTCCTAGAATTCATGTCCTCGGTCCCCTGTGAAGCTCCTTTGGGGACCTAGGGGACAGGCAGTGCACGGAGACAAAGTATGCCCTTTTCTCTGACAGTGACACCAAGCCCTGTGAACAAACCAGAAGGCAGAGCGCTGTGCACCCTGCCCGGCCCCACCACCCCCCTTGCCACCTGCTTCTGCTCCCAGGTAAGCAGTAACCTGCACAGGTGCACCGTGGGTTTTGGGAAAACTGGATCTCCCTGCACCAGAAGGGGTGGAGGGGAGGGGGTGTCTGTGACCTCATGAACAGGCATGTGACCTTGGCTCTGGCTCCATAAATACCCGAGGCCCAGCGGGAGGGCCACCCAACCCAGAGGCTGACGCACACCATGGGGCGCCTGCAACTGGTTGTCTTGGGCCTCGCCTGCTGCTGGGCAGTGGCCAGTGCCGCGAAGGTAAGAGCTCAGCAGAGGGGCAGGTCCTGCTCTCCTCCCCTCACTCACATCTGGAAACTTTGGGCCAGGCTGAGAAAGAGAGCCCAGCACATTCCCAGGGCAGTTCCCGGGCGCTCATCCTCATTTCTGCAGGGACAGGGGCCAGGTAAAATGCAGGACGCCCAGTTCCATTTGAATTTCCGATAAACTGCCAAGAACTGCCGTGTAAGTATGTCGCATGCAATATTTGAAACACACATGGGCCGGGCGCAGTGGCTCACGCCTGTAATCCCAGCACTTTGGGAGGCCCAGGTGGGTGGATCACTTGAGGTCGGGAGTTGGAGACCAGCCTGGCCAACATGGTGAAACCACATCTCTACTAAAAATACAAATGTTAGTTGCGCATGGTGGTGGGTGCCTGTAATGCCAGCTACTTGGGAGGCTGAGGCAAGAGAATTGCTTCAAGCTGGGAGGTGGAGGTTGCAGTGAGCTGAGATCACGCCACTGCACTCCAGCCTGGGTGACAGAGCGAGACTCTGTCTCAAAAGTATAAAAGAAAAAGAAAAAAATGAAACATACTAAAAAAACAATTCGCTGTTTACCTGAAATGCAAATGTAATTGGGCCTCTTGAATTTGCATTTGCTCAGCCTGGTGATCCCACCTACCAAGCTCTCTGATGGACACTGTTGCCGTTTTACAGAAGGGGAAGCAGGCCAGGGGCAGAGAGTGTGGAGAGCAGGCAGACGGGGCGGAGAGAGGCAGGCAGGCAGCCCAGCATCGCACAGCTGCTACCTCCTACTCCTGAGCAGGAACCTGAGAGCTGGGCTATTCCACACCGGGTCCGGGTCCCTTCAGAGGGAGAGCCGGCAGGCAGGAGGTCTCTCGAGCATCCATAAAATCCGCCCTCTCTGCCTGTGAGGGGGAAGCCACAGAAGCCCCAAGCCCCGCAGGAAGCCGGTGTCAGTGCCCAGCCCAGTCCCTGCCCCCAGCAGGACTCACACAGGGGACCCCAGATGCCGACCACGCTGTTCTTGTGTCTGCTCTCTCAGGCCCTGGGGTCTCCTCTCTCCACCTCCACTGCCTGCTCTCCACACTCTCTGGCCCTGGGACCTGGAGGTTTGGGCAGTGGTCCTGGGCTCCTGACTCAAAGGAGAGGTCATCCTCTTCTTGGGCGAGCTCTTCTTGGGGTGCTGAGGCCTTTGGCAGGTCATCATGACCCCTCCCCATTCCCCCGCCCTGAGGCCCTCAGGCCAGTCTCAGTTGCACAGGGACACTTCTGCCAGGTGACTTCTCTACACCGCCTCCCAGAGGTGGGGCGGGGCTGGGGGGAGCTGGCACGAGGAGACACGGATGCCTCGCAGGGGTTGCCCATGATGTCTGCAAGTGTTGCTTCTGGCTCCTTCCCTCCCGTTCCAACCGCCCCACTCTCCCACCCTAGTGTGGCAGGGGCCCATCAGCCTAGACTTCAGAGGCTGGGCCTGAGGGTACAGGGCCACCCTGCCCTTCCCTACCTGGAACCTGGCACAGGTGAGAGCCAGCAAGCAACCACCGGCTGCCACCACGCACCACGTGCAGGAGGAGCTGCTGCCCAAGATGGAAAGGAGGTGGCTCTGGGGCAGACAGTTGCCTCTCAACAGGGTGACTTCAAGCCCAAAAGCTACCTAGCCTCAGTTCCCTCAGGGACAGAGGGTGGATGAGCACCAACCTCCAGGCCCCTTGTGGGGATGGACAGCTTGGTGCACAGAGGCAGTTCTCATGGCACAGGGAAGCGTGGTGGAGGTCGGGGGGATCCCTGGGCGGGGGGAGTTCTTTACCAGCAGGGGGCACAGGAGCTGTTAGGACTTGGGTATGGGGACATCGACTTTGTGCCCAGCCAGCTAGGCCCTGTGCAGGGAGACAGGAGGAGGGAAATGCAGACCCCACCCCTCAGGAAGGAGGAAGGTTGGTGTGAAACATCCCGGGTACACTGAGCATTGGGTACGCTCCTGCCTGAGCTCCTGCCTGTTGCTCATCCTCCACGTGGGCATGGGGAGACAGGATCGGAGTCAAAGCTGGGCGGCCACAGCCTGAACCCAAACCTCCATTCCACCTCTTGGCAGGCTTCCCTAGTGGGAGCACTGGTCGAACCAGTTTCCTCTACGATTCTGGGAGCAGGACACCCCCAGGGATAAGGAGGGGAAGAGGAATCCTCAAGCCCTGAGCAGTGTGGGGCAGAGGGTGCTGTCTGGGTCTCCTGGGCAGAGCTGTCCTGCTTCGAAGCTGTCTTTGCCTCTGGGCACCCAGTGTTGCCTTGCCCGCTCTGGATTCAGGCCGATGGGGCCTGAGTCTGCCTGACCCTGCCCGTGTCTCCCTCCCAGCTGGGCCCCGTGTACACGGAAGGTGGGTTCGTGGAAGGCGTCAATAAGAAGCTCGGCCTCCTGGGCGACTCTGTGGACATCTTCAAGGGCATCCCCTTCGCGGCTCCCACCAAGGCGCTGGAGAACCCCCAGCCACACCCCGGCTGGCAAGGTAGGAGTGGGTGGTGCTGGACTGGCCCTGCGGTGGGGCTGGTGAGGGTGACTGCCTTCCTCATGCCAACTCCTCCTGCCACCCGCAGGGACCCTGAAGGCCAAGTCCTTCAAGAAGAGATGCCTGCAGGCCACCATCACCCAGGACAGCACCTACGGGGATGAAGACTGCCTGTACCTCAACATCTGGGTGCCCCAGGACAGGAAGCAAGGTCTGCCTGCCCCCTGCTCCCCAAGGGAAGTTCCCACGCAGCCAGAGCCCCGGATCTGCTCCTGGCTTGAGTCTGGGGCTGCAAAGCTGAACTGCCATGCAATCCCGCAGAGGGGAGAGGGGAGCGTCCGTGCCAGTCCCCCAGCCTGGGGCAGGGTCGTGCCTTTAAGTGCCTCCCTGTCTCGGCCCCAGGCACCTGCTGCACAGGGACGGGGGACCAGCTTGGGAGAGGGCCAGGCGGGGCATCTGGGGTCACCGGCCGCTCCCCCATCTCAGTCTCCCGGGACCTGCCCGTTATGATCTGGATCTATGGAGGTGCCTTCCTCATGGGGTCCGGCCACGGGGCCAACTTCCTCAGCAACTACTTGTATGACGGCGAGGAGATTGCCACACGCGGAAACGTCATCGTGGTCACCTTCAACTACCGTGTCGGCCCCCTTGGGTTCCTCAGCACTGGGGATGCCAACCTGCCAGGTGTGTGGGCCTCTTCGGCCCTGAGGTGGGGCGGCCAGCTTGCTGAGTCCAGCAGGGAGATTCTCCTCAGTGCCCCTCACCCCAAACAACCAGTAGCCATCCACAGAAAGACCTAGAAGCTGGAGTAGAATCACGAGAAGCAGGAGGCCCTTGGCAGCCATAGCAAAATTAAAGATGCTGCGGAGGCCAGGTGAGGTGGCTCACGCCTGTAATCCCAACACTTTAGGAGGCTGACACAGGTGGATCACTTGAGCACAGAAGTTCAGGACCAGCCTGGTAATCACAGGGAGACCCCCATCTCGACAAAAAAATAAAAAATTAGCTGGGGACCAGGCGCAGTGGCTCAACCCTCTAATCCCAGCACGTTGGGAGCCCAAGGCGGGCGGATCACATGAGGTAGGGCGTTCGAGACCAGCCTGACTAACATGGAGAAACTTCTTCTCTACTAAAAATACAGAATTATCCGGGTGTGGTGGCACTTGCCTGTAATCCCAGCTACTCGGGAGGCTGAGACAGGAGAATAGCTTGAACTCAGGAGGTAGAGGTTGCAGTGATCCGAGATCGCGCCATTGCACTCCAGCCTGGGTAACAAGAGCAAAACCCCATCTCAAAAAAAAAAAAAAAAAAAAAAAAAACAAATTAGCCGGGCATGGTAGCTCATGCCTCTGGTCTCAGCTACCTGGGAGGCAGAGGCGGAAGGATCGCTTGAGCCCAGGGATTGCAGGCTGCAGTGAACCGTGGTCGTGCCACTGTGCTCCAGCCTGGGCGACAGAATGAGGCCCCATCTCAAACATAAAAGAGGCTCTGGGACAGACAGGCAAACAGGCTGAAGCTGAGAGAGAAACCCGTAGAGCAGAGCCGAGTGAGAGAAAACGATACCTTGAGGCAGAGACAGCTGTGGACGCAGAAGTGGCAGGACACAGACAAGAGGGACTGGGGCACGGGCAGGAGAGGTGCATGGGCCTGACCATCCTGTCCCCACAAACACTACCCCCTCTAGCACCCCACTGATCCAACCTCCTGGGGACCCACCCCCTCCAGCACCCCACCCGACCCAGCTTCTCAGGTACCCACCATTTGCCAACCGCAGCTCTGCCATGGCCCCAAGTCTGTTGAGGGCATTTCTACCCCACCCACACTGGTCTCCCCTCCTGGAGGCCAGGCCTGGGCCACTGATCTCTAGCACCCTCTCCCCTGCCCTGCCCACAGGTAACTATGGCCTTCGGGATCAGCACATGGCCATTGCTTGGGTGAAGAGGAATATCGCGGCCTTCGGGGGGGACCCCAACAACATCACACTCTTTGGGGAGTCTGCTGGAGGTGCCAGCGTCTCTCTGCAGGTCTGGGGATCCCCGTGGGGAGGGCCTGCCCCACAGGTTGGGAGGAAGCTCAAACGGGAAGGGGAGGTGGGAGGAGGAGCATGGAGCTGGGGCTGTGGTGCTGGGTTGTCCTCGGCCCAGCCTGGGGTGGGTGGAGTGGGGAGCGGCCTTGGTGACAGGATCTCTGGCTGTCGTAGACCCTCTCCCCCTACAACAAGGGCCTCATCCGGCGAGCCATCAGCCAGAGCGGCGTGGCGCTGAGTCCCTGGGTCGTCCAGAAAAACCCACTCTTCTGGGCCAAAAAGGTAAACGGAGGAGGGCAGGGCTGGGCAGCGTGGGGGCAGAATTGATACCCGGGTGGGGGCCGTCCTCATTTCCATTCTTTGTCTTGGACCCTGTCCTTGCCTTCCAATGGTTCGGAGCCCTGAGCACTGTCCTCACCTACCTGCCGGCCTTGCTCCTGCCCTCAGGTGGCTGAGAAGGTGGGTTGCCCTGTGGACGATACCGCCAGGATGGCCAAGTGTCTGAAGGTTACTGACCCCCGAGCCCTGACGCTGGCCTATAAGATGCCGCTGGCAGGCATGGAGTGTGAGTAGCTGCTCGGGTTGGCGCATGGGGTCTCGAGGTGGGGGTTGTGGGGGTACTGCCAGGAAGTACTCTGGAGAAGAGAAGAAGGTGCCGGAGCTGTGGTCTGGTCCTGTTGCCATCAAACTGGTGACTCCCCTCAAAGGCCCCCGCTGTAAGGGAGAAGGGGAGCCATCTGTTTTTTTTTGTTTTTTTTTTTTTTGTTTTTTTTTGAGATGGAGTCTCACTGTTGCCCAGACTGAAGTGCAGTGTCAGGATCTCAGCTCACTGCAACCTCTGCCTCCTGGGTTCAAGTGATTCTCCTGACTCAGCCTCCCGTGTAGCTGGGACTACAGGCACATGCCACCATGCCCAGCTCTGTTGTATGTTTAGTAGGGATGGAGTTTCACCCTGTTAGCCAGGATGGTCTCGCTCTTGGGACCTCGTGATCCGCCCGCCTTGGCCTCCCAAAGTGCTGGGATTACAGGTGTGAGCCACCGTGCTCAGCAATTTTTGTATTTTTAGCAGAGACGGTTTCACCATGTTGGCCAGGCTGGTCTCGAACTCCTGACCTCAGGTGATCCGCCCGCCTCAGCCTCCCAAAGTGCTGAGATTACAGGTGTGAGCCACCGTGCTCAGCCCCTTCTTTCTTCTTATCTCCCATGAGTTACAGACTCCCCCTTTGAGAAGCTGATGAACATTTGGGGCCCCTCCCCCACCTCATGCGTTCGTATGCAGTCATTTGCATACAATTTCAGGGAGATCCATAGACCCCAGACCAAGAGCCTTTGTGCTAGATGACAGTTCGTTCATTCATTCATGCAGCAAACATTTACTGAACTGTAGCACTGGGGCCTCCAGCTCCACTATTCTGTACCCCGGGAAGGCCTGGAGACCCCTTGCACAAACACCTGTGCATGGCCGCCGCACCAGCTTGCTAGGCTAACGCTCTCCCTTGCACATTCTTCTATGGCAACGTGCCATGAAGGCAAGTCATCTGCATGTTTACCTGACATGAGCTCAACTGCACGGGCTGGACATGCCCAAACAAAGCAAGCCGCACAGGCCCGCTGGAAGCAAAGCCCACGGTGCTGGGCCCAGTGACAGCCGGGCCCCACCTGCCTCAGCAGCTGCAGGGTCCTCTAGGGGCCAGTCCGGGGGTCTGGAGGGCAATGCAGACCTCACACCATTTTTGGCTAATGGAGTGGAACCCAGCACTGAGAGAGGGAGCTCCTTCTCCATCAGTTCCCTCAGCGGCTTCTAAGTTTCCTCCTTCCTGATTCAGGCCCAGCAAAGAGAGAGAGGAGAGGGAGGGGCTGCCGCTGAAGAGGACAGATCTGGCCCTAGACAGTGGCTGTCAGCCTGGGGACGTGTGGCAGGGCCTGGAGACGTCTGTGATTGTCACGGCTGGGGAGGGGGGTGCTCCTGGCACCTTGTGGGTTGAGGCCGGGGATGCTGTAAACATCCTACAGGGCACAGGATGCCCCGATGGTGCAGAATCAACCCGGCCCCAAGTGACTATAGATCAGAGAAGGGAGGAAATAGCCAACTCCAGCCCTGAGAGGCAAGGGGTGGCTCAGGGGACACTGGAAGGTACAAGAACCTCCTGGCTCTCCCACCCAGACCCCATGCTGTACTATCTGGGCTTCATCCCTGTCATTGATGGAGACTTCATCCCCGATGACCCCATCAACCTGTACGCCAATGCCGCCGACATCGACTATATAGCAGGCACCAACAACATGGACGGCCACTTGTTCGCCAGCATCGACATGCCTGCCATCAACAAGAACAACAAGGAAGTCACGGAGTAAGCAGGGGGCACAGGACCCAGGGGCGACCCGTGCTGGAGGGCGGCCGGGAAGGCATTGGTGAGGGGGCCAGCCTGGAGGAGGAAGACACTGAGTGGAGGACTGGGAGTGAGGAAGTTAGCACCGGTCGGGGTGGGTACGCACAGGGGGAGTGTCAGTGCCTACTTGGTCCCCGCAGGGAGGACTTCTACAAGCTGGTCAGTGGGCTCACAGTGACCAAGGGGCTCAGAGGTGCCAAGACTACCTTTGATGTCTACACTGAGTCCTGGGCCCAGGACCCATCCCAGGAGAACAAGAAGAAGACTGTGGTGGACATTGAGACCGATACCCTCTTCCTGGTGCCCACCGAGATTGCCCTGGCCCAGCACAGAGCCAACGCCAAGTGAGGATCTGGGCAGGGGGTGGCTCCTGGGGGCCTTCCTGGGGTGCTGCACCTGCCAGCCGAGGCCTCGCTGTGAGTGGCTCTCAGGTGTCTGGGTTGACTGGGAAAGTGGTGCTTGAGTCCCCACCTGTGCCTGCCTCATCCACTTTGCTGAGGCCTAGCAAGACTTGAGGGCCTCTTTTTCCCTCCCAGCCTATAGGGGTTTACGAACCCCACGATCCTCTGCCCTGCTCAGCCCTGCACCCCATGGTCCTTCCCACTGGAGAGTTCTTGAGCTACCTTCCATCCCCCACACTGTGTGCATTCAGACAACACTGGACAATGGTTTCTATCCACTGACTCTTATGGGCCTCAACTTTGCCAATTTACAAAACAGTTTCAACCCACAGCCAGATTAAAAATCTTTATGTAATAATAGCCAATTATAATAAAAAATAAGGCCAGACACAGTAGCTCACGCCCGTAATCCCAGCACTTTGGGAGGTCAAGGCGGGAGGATCACTTGAGGTCAGGAGTTGGAGACCAGCATGGCCAACATGGCAAAACCCCATCTCTACTAAAAATACAAAAATCAGCCAGGCGTGGTGGTGCGCACCTATAATCCCAGCTACTCAGGAGGCTGAGGCAGGAGAATTGATTGACCCAGGGAGGTGGAGGTTGCAGTGAGCCAAGATTACGCCACTGCACTCCACCAGGGGCAACAGAGTGGGACTGTGTCTCCAATAAATGAGTAGATAAATAATAAAAATAAAAAATCAGTTAGGAATACGAAAAAGATAGGAAGATAAAAGGATACCGAGAAGTCTAGGATGAAAGCAACTAAGCAATACATTTAGCTGTGAGCCTCTTTTCACTGAAGGCAAAAAGGGAAACAGTTGAGGGCCTATACCTTGTCCAATCTAATTGAAGAATGCACATGCACTTGGAGAGCAAAATATTTCTTGATACTGACTTCTAGAAGGAAGGTGCCTCACAGTGTTTTGTGGAGGTGAAGTATAAATTCAACAGAAATGGCAGAACCCATGAATCCATGAATTTGGTTCTCAGCTTTCCCTCTCCTGGGTCTGAGAAGCTCCGTCTCTTCATGTGAATCCCTCAGACCCTTCCCTGCCCACTGCCCGGGACCTCCCTCCAGGGCCAGTCTGTGGGCTGGGCGGTCCCCGGTGAGCACCCTGCCTACTTGGGTGGTCTCTCCCCTCCAGGAGTGCCAAGACCTACAGCTACCTGTTTTCCCATCCCTCTCGGATGCCCACCTACCCCAAATGGATGGGGGCAGACCATGGAGATGACATCCAGTACATTTTCGGGAAGCCCTTCGCCACCCCCGACGGCTACCGGCCCCAAGACAGGACAGTCTCCAAGGCCATGATCGCCTACTGGACCAACTTTGCCAAAACAGGGTAAGGCGTGGGTTGAGAGCAGGGCGGAGGGTCGCAGCCGAGAAGGGCCTCCCACCACGAGGCCCTGTTCCCTCACTTGCCAGCGGAGGGACTTTGGGCAAGTCACTTATCCTCCCCTGCATCGGAATCCATGTGTGTTTACGAGGATAAGAGCTACTGGCAGAGCCCCAAGCCCGCGCACGTGCACAGCCTGTGTCCTGTATGCAGTGAGGGGCCACGGTGCCCACGGCCAGCTCAGAGGACGGGGATGGCTCAGGCGTGCGGGTGCAGAGCAGGCCTTCAGCCCCTTGGGAGTCCCCAGCCCCTGCACAGCCTCTTCTCACTCTGCAGGGACCCCAACATGGGCCACTCGGCTGTGCCCGCACACTGGGAACCCTACACCTCGGAAAACGGCAGCTACCTGGAGATCACCAAGAAGATGGACGGCAGCTCCGTGAAGCGGGGCCTGAGAACCAACTTCCTGCGCTACTGGACCGTCACCTATGTGGCGCTGCCCACGGTGACCGACCAGGAGGCCACCCCCGTGCCCCCCACAGGTGACTCCGAGGCCACTCCTGTGCCGCCCACAGCTGACTCCGAGGCCACCCCCGTGCCCCCCACAGGTGACTCCGAGGCCACTCCTGTGCCGCCCACAGGTGACTCCGAGGCCACCCCCGTGCCCCCCACAGGTGACTCCGAGGCCACCCCCGTGCCCCCCACAGGTGACTCCGAGGCCACCCCCGTGCCCCCCACAGGTGACTCCGAGGCCACCCCTGTGCCCCCCACAGATGACTCCAAGGCCACCCCCGTGCCCCCCACAGGTGACTCCGAGGCCACCCCCGTGCCCCCCACAGGTGACTCCGAGGCCACTCCTGTGCCGCCCACAGGTGACTCCGAGGCCACTCCTGTGCCGCCCACAGGTGACTCCGAGGCCACTCCTGTGCCGCCCACAGGTGACTCCGAGGCCACCCCCGTGCCCCCCACAGGTGACTCCGAGGCCACCCCTGTGCCCCCCACAGATGACTCCAAGGCCACCCCCGTGCCCCCCACAGGTGACTCCGAGGCCACCCCCGTACACCCAACTGGTGACTCTGAGGCCGCCCCTGTACCCCCCACAGATGACTCCAAGGGAGCTCAGATGCCTGTAGTCATTAGTTTCTAGCATCCCATGAGCCTTGGTCTTTAGAGGCCGCAAGGGTGGGACCCCAGGGGCTCCCCTCCCGTCTTTAGCTCTTCCTGAATAAAACCTCATTTCCCTGTCTGGCGTGTTTCTTTGCTCCCAAGGCTAAGCTGCGGGATCTGCCTGTCAATTGCAGGCTTGCTGTTTCATGCCCAGCTCGTCTGTCTTTGGCCAGAGGCGGCCTCAGGTTGGTCTCTGTAGTCCTTTGACACAACCCTTGGTTCTTGGGCACCTTCCTTACTTACAGCCACCACGATGCTGCAGACTCCAGCCCCTCCCTGGCATTTCCTGCCATGGACCCGGGCCAACCATTTCCCCAGGGCGCACTCCTTCGTCAGTGTGAACATGCTGTTTAGAGACCCCAATCTGGTCACCAGGGGTGGTGCTTGCTCCTGGGATTTCTTTACCGCTAGGGCTTTGGAAGAGACAGAGCCAGGAAATAAGTATTTTTTTTTAACCAATAAAAACAAATAAAGTATGAGGCCGGGCACAGTGGCTCATGCCTGTATTCCTAGCACTTTGTGAGGCCGAGGCAGGAGGATCACTTGAGGTCAGGAGTTCGAAACTAGCCTGGCCAACATGGTGAAACTCCATCTCTACTAAAAGTACAAAAAATTAGCCAGGTGTGGTGGCGTGCACCTGAGGTCCCAGTTGAGGGAGAAGAATCGCTTGAGCTCGGGAGGCGGAGGTTGCAGTGAGCCGAGATCGCACCACTGCACTCCAGCCTGGGTGACAGAGCGAGACACGATCTCTAATAATAATAATAATAATAATAAAGGTATGAATTCATGCAGGCATTTCCCAGTTGTAAGATTGTCAGGTTTTACTTCTCTGATTTTACAACTGTTTCTTTTTCTGCCTATGCTGAAAGTCTGGGTTCCTGACAGCACCAGCATCGTTTATGTTCTTTTTCCTATAACATACATATGCTAATTTTGAAATATAAGATATTGCAGTAAATCATATGTTATATTTAAAGTGCATGAATTTAAATAAATTAAAAATTATATAAAGTAATATATGATAAAATATTAAGACTACTAAGGATCATTTAAGATCGATTTGCTCATTCTCCTTAAATCCTCCCACAGAATAAACAATTGTGCCTCCAGGTCCTCTGAGTAACACTATGGTTAGGCCATCTACGGATACACAGTTAGTTAGAACTTTGGGGTTTTTTTAATATGCAGATGTGGAAACTGACCTATGACTTTTTTTTTTTTTTGAGACAGAGTTTCACTCTTATTACCCAGGCTGGGGTCCAGTGGCCTGATCTTAGCTCACTGCAACCTCTGCCTCCTGGGGTCAAGCGATTCTCCTGCCTCAGATTCCTAAGTAGCTGGGACTACAGGCATGCACCACTACGCTCGGCTAATTTCTTTGGACTTTTAGTAAAGACAGGGTTTCACCATTTTGGCCAGGCTGGTCTTGAACTCCTGACCTCAGGTGATCTGCCCGCCTCAGCCTCCCAAAGTGCTGGGAGTACAGGCATGAGCCACCGTGCTCAGCCCCTAACTAGGACTTTTAAGTGAATGTTTCTCTGCCTGAAAACAAAGTTTAAGTGTTCCTTTTAGGCCAACCTGTAGACAATAACTGTAGACCCTAATATTGGTTGTGCCATGCACTTGTCATCCATAGTTTTGCTGAGTGAAGGAATTGATGGGAAAATGTGAAATTCAGAGAGGCAGGCACGGGCCCAGGCCGCACAGCTGGGGAGCGTCAGCATTGGTTGGGACCTGTGTTGGATTTGCAGTTCTGCCTTGTGTGATGTAACCTGGACTTCATTAAAATTAAAAATTTCTGCTCTACAAAGACACTGTTAAGAAAACAAAGACAAGCCACAGACTGGGAAAACATATTAGCAAAAGACATCTGATAAAGCACTGTTATCCAAAATATACCAAGAGCTCTTAGCACTCAATAAATAAGAAAATAACCTGATTCCACAATGGGTCAAAGGCGGACACCTCACCGGAGAAGCTATATGGGTGGCAACTAAGCATCTGAAAACGTAACCTAGGTTGG